GGGACGTTTTCTGACGGTTAGCATAGAAGACGGGCAGAAAGGCCCTTATTCATGGCTTTGACACTTATTGTGCAAGGATCTTCAATGCCAATGTTACCTTGATTCCCCAATATTTACAGTGCGTCTAGTAACATCTCCCACACCTGGTAGGAAGGTGAAAGCATGAGTCACTCGTGATCCTTTCAGTCAATCAGATTTTGCCATCTGGTTTTCAAAGTCTGTCAAATCCTCTTAGGTAGAAGAAAAACAAGTTCCCAGCGCTGGGCTCCGCAGGGGCCAGCGAGGCATTTCCCTTTGCCTCGGCCACCGAAAGCGCCCCCAGGAAGCAGCCGGGGCTGGTGGACACGCGCGGGCCCCCTCCACTGGTGGGGGCTCTGGGCTTCCTCCTCCCAGCCCTGCCAAGGGCAGCAGCTCCTTTCGGTTGCCTGGAAGAGGGTGAATGAATTGAAGCAGGACCCCAATGTAATTCTGCTGGAAGATGGAGCTGGGAAGTGGAAACCTGAGCCTATCGGACCTAACCCTAAAGGCCTCCTCTCTGTCTCTCTCTTTTTTTTTTTTTTAATTGGTCAGCACTGCCGTTGTCTCCTAACTGTCCTTTGAGACCTACAAAGCATTTCCTGCTCATGGTGACTTCTCTGTGCTGTATCTGTTTTGTATTGAGCTAATTAAAATGTTTCCTTCTGAAGAGAATAGTGAACTGACTTACCCCATATTCAGCCAGTGCTCCTCAGGGCATGACTCTCTCTTTGTTTTCACTAAGAATGTCTCTCTCCATTTACATCACCCGTTTAACCCTTGCCGAGCTTTGGCCTGCCCATCCACTGCGGCCTTCCGAGAGGCGAAGCTACGGTCCCGGAATGATGGAATTCACCCCAAACTTCCCCCAAACAGCTGTATCTTTTGGCTTCTCTAAGAAGGACCTTTTTTAATTTGCAAAGGAACTTCAGTCGGATTTTGGAGTATTATGAGAATGCTGCCTCTTTTTGAACCTCAGGTCTTTTGCTGATGGGACATCTCTTCTTTATAATAGTATTGCAAGATCCCACAGAGATCATGGTAAGAGAAGATTTAGATGTAATGAAAAATTGATGAAAAACAAAGTTACACTGTTTGAGCCAATGCTTGAAGGTTGTTTTCACTCAGGAATAGAAATTGATGATGGAGGTAGCGTTGTCTTTGATGTAGTCCAGTTTATTTACAAAGAGTGTTTTTAAAAAAAAAAAAAAAAAAGGGGAAGATTTAGATGTAATGAAAAATTGATGAAAAACAAAGTTACACTGTTTGAGCCAATGCTTGAAGGTTGTTTTCACTCAGGAATAGAAATTGATGATGGAGGTAGCGTTGTCTTTGATGTAGTCCAGTTTATTTACAAAGAGTGTTTTAAAAAAAAAAAAAAAAAAAGGGTAAGAGAGTGCCGTTGCCCTGAATACACTCAGGAATCTAACAACAGGAGCCAGTTTATTTGCTTACGGCTCCACAACCCTTTCCAGGCAGCATTCTGCCCCAAAAAGCATCCTTTCTTTGCTTCCTCCGACACAATTTCCAGTGGTTCTTTGGTGCCGTCTTAGCTTCTTGGCTCCTCCTCGTTGCCGGTGCCTGGCTCTCGCGGGGCGCCCCCGGCCCCCGGAAGCCCTCCTTTCACCCAGCCTCGCACGGGGCCCTCGCTCCAGGCTGCTTCCTTTCTCCAGCCCCTTTGCTGAAGCAGCAGAGGTGAACTTTCACCTCTGTTTATCCAAAAATTACAGGCTTTTTTTTTTCCTCTTTGCATACGTTAGCTTCAGCCAGCTTCCCGCCGGCCCCCAGCACGGCGGCACAAACGCCCGTTTCGGCTCTCGCCAGGTAAAGCTCGGTGGCAGGGAGCTGCGGCTGGGTTTCCTCTTGGTGCTGGGCATGTTCTCCTTGCAGCGAAGCCGGTGGAGGCAGGCGGCGATGAGCGCTTTGCTCGGGTGCTCAGGACCTCGGAGGATCTGTGCCCAGCATTGCTGTACCGGAGGGACTTGATCAAACAGGGCTTGGCTCTTCAGTTGCTTTATTCTGGGGGGAAAAGGGGAGGTTTGAGTACTCTCTTCTCCCAAGAGTTTGGGCAAGGTTGGTGCAGACAGGCTGAGTTTCTCCTCCCTCGTGGGCCTGGCCTCGCGAGAGCGGCAGATGTTGGGTGCCCTCCTGGACTGCTTGCGCGTCGCCAGGACGAGGCCACTCATCCCCCCGTTCTGCGGGGCACGTGTGTCAGCAAAAACGTGTGGCTGATCTGGAGGCACGGCTGGGGTTTTCATGCCATCTCCCTCATCGCCCTTCTTGGGAGAAGCATTAAGGTCTTGAGAAGTATTTAGAGGTGTATACCGAAAGCACGTGCAAGGAAAGAGAACACGCAGCTACAGTATTTTTCAGTAAGAACTGCAGAGAGTAAAGTTGTACTAATGTGTTAAAATAAACTTAGAATGACTTCACAATGCAAAAATGCAAAATCAGAGACAGCGAGTGATGTTTCTGTAGTTAAGTTTCATAGAAAACATTTCTAATAATGACATGAGCGAAAGGGAATCAGGTTTTGGCATGATATGAGGTGTGCGGCTATGGAAATGCAGTTGATTTCTATTTTCCCTGAAAGAGCAAGTGCGTGTTGTGGTGGAAGATGGTGCATTATCTGCAGGTTGAAAAATTAAAAGGGGAAAATATTAGGTGGAAATAACATCTTCAGTTGTGGCTGTCTATGGGCAGGGTAGGAATTTAAAATATTATAAAAGCATATTATATACAGAGAAAGCAATGCATTATGTTGCTTGCATGCATCTTTGTCCCCGGGCTCGGGGCTGATGAATGCCCTTCAATGTGACTTGCTCAAACTTGCCAAGATAAAGAGGCTGTGCGTTTTCTACAAAACAAAACCCACCCATCACAGATAATTCAGAAAGCTTTCCTTGCAACTGGGGTCAGGTAAGGTGAATTTGGCTCTGAAACCGTGGCTCTTTCCCCTCTTTTACGGGACTAAATTCAGAAGATGATGCATTTGAGGAAATCTTGTAGAGCCACTGTCTGCTCCTGTGAACAAATAACTCTTCTTTTCAGGGAGAGAAGTTGCCTTTTGTGAAAGGCAGCGGGCTCCCCTTCCCTGAGACTAAATCAGGTCCTTATTTACGGAGGAGGTGCAACATGTGAAGGAGCAGAGGGAGTCTCTGCACACACACTTGACCTGGAAGGACCTATGGAGGGCTGGACGCGTGCTCCAGGAGCCGTCCTCGCTCACTCCCAGCCCTGCTGCGCGGGGTGGCTCCTGGTGCCTAATCTGTGACCGTGGAGCGCTGCGCAAGCCATCAGTCTGAGCCGTCCGCGTACACCCGGCCACCAACACTCAGACAGCGGTAAACAGAGGCCCTGACACTGAAATAGGCTCTAACCGGAGCGGACCGTAGCCTGCACAGATGCATCGCTCACACCGGCGTAATCAGTCATCCCACTCACAGAGACAGGGCAGAAGCAATGTAGTTTGTTGACTCGAGAGATCTTAAATTATTAATAAAATAGCATTTGTGAATATTTTACGCAGAGATCTCTCTTGACAGGCATTTCTTAACCCTCGCAGTGCTCCTGGGAGCTTTGCTGGGTGGCAGCTACGTGCCCGCCCGGGGTGAAGGGCTGGCGCAGGAGAGGTGCTGGATTAGGGCATGCCAGGTAGCATCCGAGTGCAGGCCTGGAGCACGTCTGCTCTAAGTGGCCACCACACTGCAAGCGTCCAAAGCGGTGCTGCAGTAAAGGGGTTTCCCAGACTGCTTTGCCACATACCCTTTTTTCCCCCTGGGGAGCAATCTTCTCCCCCTTTCTGTCCACGCAGAAGCAGTGTAGCCTGCGCTGCTCCCTTTCCTGGGGCTGGCCTGGGGTGCGGGGAAAAGGGCCTGAGTTCCTGCTCCTGCGTCTCGGCTCCAGGAGGGACGCCCGTCTCCCGGCCGGGAGCACGTCTCTGCCCGGGCGCAGCTAACGCTGCCATTGTTGCTTCTCAGGCACTTGGAAGGCACTGTTGTTTCTCTCATTTTTTGGCAAATTGCAAAGAAAATGAGAGTGAGCGGGTAATTGCATTCGGGCGTTGGTTCTGTCTGTCTGTCTTTGTATGAGCCGAACTCCGAGCTCCAGAATTTGAAAGACATTGATTTTTATCAACTGGCCTAACCCCAGCCAAGGAGGAGTGTCATTTTTTACTCTCCGAGGATTAAAGTGAAATGCACACTGAGTTCCCTCTCCCTTCCTCCTTCCCATGTTTTTCAGGACTTTCTTTTACATTTAAAAGGCTTTGAACCCACCAGAGTAGTAAGGTTAGCTTCCTGCCTGCTCTCTTTTGGCTTTCAGAAGACTAGTAAGAGAAAGAAGATGAAAAAGTGCAGGGGGGGGGGGGGGAAATATCCTTATCACCGACCCGAGAACTCTGCACTTCCCCTCCCCTAGGTTTACTGTTCTGTTTGTGTGGGGGGACAATAACAGCAGATACAATCATCTCCTCTCAAAAGAGTAAGGAGCGTTATTAAAAACTACAAACTTTTCTCGCAAACTGTTCTGCAGTGGACTTACTGCATTAAGCTGTATTTCTTTCAAACAGCTGCATCTTTAAATGGCTTTAAGCGTGCCTCATTCATTCTACTTCTGACAATAGTTTTTCTATCTGCATATAGCTGCATGCAAATTTTCTTGTGGAGTTTTGCAACCGGGTTTAAAAGGAGTAGATTTTAGCTATAAATGAAAGCCAAAGTGATATTTTAAAGTTTTCAGTATAAAAATATAACTTTTTTCCCCTGTTTTTAATATAGTTTGTAGCAACCAGCTCTCTTGATCACAGTACATGAAACTGAAAACATATTATTGTAAGCTGAAAGTCTCAGTGCTTGCCACGTTTATCTACTACCATCTCTTAAGCTTGCGTTAAAGAGCATCTTTATGATATTGACTTCAAGTACCAAAAAATCCCTCAGCAAGGGACATTTTCCACAAGTCTGAAGCAAACAATAAGGATGGAAAAATCTTTAACTTGTCATCCTCAGCGACACGATGAGAATGATGGTGTGAATTATGATGATTCCCCCTGCAGCGGTTCGGACAAGTAGCTCCTACAGTAATTACTTTCCAAAAACTTGGAGATCATCGTTTTCACTTTAAACAGAAACATCCACCTCTTCCATCTAAATCATACTGTCGCTCAAGGAAGAGGAATGAGATCTGCCTGGATGGAAAAAACATTGCTGATCTCTGCTGCAAGGAGCAGCTCCAGCCAGACGACCGGATTTACACCGTAGCTTTGTCCGAGCTGGCGGCTTTTAGAAAACGTTAGAATCATTTTATTTTATTTTTTTCCTTTCCCAGCGCTGACATGAAACGCGGACGGCTTTATGCTGACTTAGCAAGCGAGGAAGCAGACTCACCCAGGCCCAGCGGGGCGAGCGGCTTGGCCGGTCCCGAGCGCCCTGCCAGCCCGCGGGCACCCGACCCGAGCTCGAGTCAGTCCCACGCGGCGGAGCGGCGCGCTCCGCGTTTGCAAGGTTTCCTCTTGGAAACGCAAAGCGGCCGCGGGTTAGCTCCGTGCCTTTGTTAGGAGGGGGGAAAAGCCGCCCAAGGCTGCAGCCATCCCGTCCCGTCTCAGGGAGCGGGCGGCGAGACCGGGCCCAGCGCCTGGGCAGGGGGGCTGCGCGGGGGATCTCTCGGGGGTCTCCCCAGCCCCTCCTTTCCCTTAAGCAGCAATGCCCGGCGCAGGCGGCTCTCGCCGCTCAGATTTAGCAGCTTAAGCGCAGCCTGACAATGGCTAAAGCTTATTTCCTGAGCAATTAGTTGGCAGGCGCAGGCTGCGGGAGCGTGCCTGGAGCAGGGGGCTGCGCGCGCCTGGCGCTGAGCGCGGGGTGGGGGGAAAAGGCTGTTTAAAGCTCAGGTTTTCTTTTGCACAGCTGTAACTAGTTTTCCTAACAGTTAAAAAATAAAGAGCAAAGAGGCGAGGGGAGAGCTGGGGAACAGGAAAGCGTTTGATAACGCCTGGGAGCCGCAAAGCAAAGCTGGGTGGAAAAATCAGGCATCTTTCTAAGCTGAGATTTAAAGAGGCTCTTTTGCAAGCGTTCTCCTCGGAGCGAGCTCAACAGAGCGGGCTCTTGTCCTCCCGCAGCTGGCGGGGAACGGCTGGGGTTCCTGCTGGAAAGCCT